AAAAAAAAAAAAACCAAAAATATTTTGACATCAATTTATCAAAGATTTCCAACAGAAAGGTGAAAATAATGATTGGATGAGAAAAGGCGTTTAGGGATCAGTTAGTTGTTGATGCGTTTTGTTATTATCACCAGCAGAAAGATGATCATCGTTGTACGAATCATTCGGGACGCACTATGATTTTTGATCCCTTGACCATTTTACATCTTATTTTACTATTACCACAACATTTGTCCATTTATTGCATTAAATGCTGCTAAATTTGATCGTAATGTTAGCAATACTCATAACATTCTAATTATCATTAATTATTTAATGATAATTAGAATGTTGTGAGTAATTATTTTCTGTACTAAATTCTTTTTGGAATGAAATATGATAAATTATTAGAAGTTATATTATAACTTTTAGTTCTACGAATTACAATAGTAAAATTGAGTTATTTATATTACATAAATTATATTATTTTTTATGAAATAAATATTATGCTATCATATAGCATTTAATGTTATATGATTACGTTCGAAGAATACTAAACAATGTGAACGATGCAATACGTGATTATCAGAATGCTTTTTTTCTTTCATTGTTAATGTTAGTAAATGTTATGCTAATATCATATAGCATTTAATATTAATATTTTTACGCTTAATGTCATCTTTTTTTTCTCTCGCTTTTATTAATTCTATAATATGATGTAACATAGTATGAAATCAGAATGGCTTAAATCAAATTTTTTCCAGCATTTTCTTTGTTTTTCTCGAAATTTAAAAAATGTGATAGATTAGTTTTTAAGAAAAAAAAAGGATAGGAAAGAAGGAAGAGGATGAAAAATTTTTCCCTCAAATTTGTTTGGGAAATAAAAAATGTCAATTGAACAATGATGTATAATTTTTTAATGAAAATAAAACTTTCATGAAATTGTTCAAACAGAAAATGTATGATTTTACACGTGGAAAAGATAAAAATTGAAAAATATTTATTTAGTATAAGTATATTTAGTATAAGATAAGAGGTTTAGATAACTTCCGGAGGAAGTACAATGCAGAAGAATTCTCAACAGAAGGTTGTTTTCATACATTTTTTTGATTTGCCCTTCAAATTGTTATATTGTTAATTCACATCATTAAATGTTTCCTATGCTAACCATTTAGCAATCCTTTTTCAATTAGTTTATAACCATACCTAAGTATAATCATTAACTAAAGATCTGTTAATATAATTACAGGTGATATATTTGGTTAAGTCTATTATCATCATTACTTTTACTTATGCCAACAGTAATCCAACTTCATCATTTTATCACCCTCATTTCATTTACCATTCTTTTATTTCACTTTATTTGCTATCTTATTTAATGCTTTCATTATTATTTTGCTTGAAATTGGTAGTACAATTATTGCCATTTCACGCGTTGTTATTATAATATCAAAAATTTAATATTACAATAATGTTTTTTTTTTACAATTTTACAACAATAATCTCATTTTTTCATTCTTATATCAAATTAACTTGCAAATGAAAAAAAAAATCGATCACGTCAGCTAAAACGTATCACTTATCAATGTCCTGTTAGAATTACAAGTCTGAATACAGCAGTAGCATTCCATATTACATAATTTTTTTGTAAGGATGTTGGATGTAGATAAGAATGTCATCAAATTTGAAATATGATTAAACTTATTTATCATATTAGCTTCATATTAGCTGCCTAATTGTGTCATATTGCATCATTAGATTCGATTTAAAAATCAACAAGTAGCAATTGTGCTAATAAATGCTATGACGTGAAGAGAATCAAATAGATTAAATGAGAAGATCAATTTATTGTCAGATTTATCGTTAGATATTTACTATCAAATTTAATCTTTTTTGAAGTATTAATTGTTGCATTAAAAATAGAAATTGTTCGTGTCATATGGAGATTTTTTTTTCTTTTTTATCAGACAACTATTTCTAACATAAATTATTTATTTGCTAAAATTTTGACGTGAATGAGTTTTACAATCCATTTTAAGCATTGCAAGCATCAATTTGTTACATTAATTAAATGTTGCAAGCATCAGTTTATTAGATTAATTTCTGTTATAAGGGATATATTGAAAAAATGAAGAAAAAATTGATAAGTACTTTCTATAATATGAATTAAATCACAAAAAAATCGTATATGACATTGCTTGTAATAATGATTTGTGATTCTCGATTGAATTGTTTTATTCATTGCGTTTCAAATTTTCCAGGTATTTATGTACATTTTTACAAATTTTTCTTCTCCTCTTTTTCCACTTTCTGAATTGATGAGAGTAAATAAGCAATCTATCCACTAATCAAACTTTTTCCAAAGACTTTTTTCTCTTTCTTTTTTTTTTTTTTCATCTTAAATTTAACCTTTTTTTTTGGCGAATAATAGAAAAGGTACTGTTGATAGTTGTTAAATATTTGTTTGACTTTTTTAAATTATTAAATATTTGCATGTGTAACCATACTTTTTCTCGTCGAATTTTTATAAAATTTCAAAGTTATAACGATAGTTCGTGCTCAGTGAATCTTGAAATATTCACTTCAAATTATTTCTTCACTTAACACTTTAATACTGAAAGTGTAATTTCGAATTTTGTAATATAAATTTTAGATAGGCGAGGGGTGGAAAAAAAAAGTTAAAATTATCTATTAAAATCATCTAGTTCAGTGACAAATAAGTAAAAGTCTTTTTTTTTTTCAATTTATCCAGAATACACACACACACACATACAGACATAGACAGACACAGATGTGCACAGACAGACTCACAGCTGTCCAACGCAAACAAATATTAAACTTTGTAATTTTTAAAATGAAAAATGATCCTAAACATTTGGAATGCATTGGATGTTTTTGTCATCATTAAGGGAAAGTTTCTTGTTATTGTTAAGAGAGTTATTTTAAAATGTATTCCATTGGTTAGTTTACATTACATTCTGTCCTCTGTTGCGCTATTTTCCTTTTTGCAATTGGCTCGATGCCGATAAATAAACATTCTTAATTGATATTAATTTCCATTTTTACTCTATCATTCTTGTTTTGTCATTATTAAATTTAAGTTTCAAGTTGTAATTACCTTGAAATATCTTAAATTTCAAATTACCAACCAATATTTTAATATTTTTTAAATGGATTAAGCTAATTTCATATTTCATGACATTCGCTCTTAACCAATCGATATGCCTTGTTAAACTTAGTAAAAGTTAATTTTCCAGATTTTCGTCATCTAAAAATGTTTAAAATTTATAACTTTGAGAATCATTTATTATTATTACTATTTTTTTTGGAATCTTTAATTAAGAAAAACAGGCAAATAAGATAAAGAGCAGTTGCTAGCTATAGTTGAAGGATGATTAGCACCAGTCTCAGACTAAATGCTGATTTCAGTGATTTTTGAACAAAAAAAAAAGTTTGAAAAATTGTTTTGAAAATAAAAAGAAAAAATACCTGATAGGGGATGAAAGAGTTAAAGAAAAAAGTATGCCTCTTAATGAAAAGAAATAAGATTAATACTTTAAATACTTTGAAATTCATTAATTTAAATAAGTTAATACTGTCGTAATGAATAGTATCATTTTTTTTCTTATTCTTTTGTTATTAATTTTTAATCATCGATTTGTTTGCTACAAATTTTTATTGTTATTTTTATCCACAATGTTCAATTGCTTATTATTGCTATGAACTGATAATGCAAAACTGACACATGCCAAAAATTCATCGTAAAAGAATTCAATGTCATTGATAATTTTAATTATTTTATCCATTAAATTGATAAAATAACTTTTCTTTCCTCTATAATGATATATTGGAACAGCAAAAAAGAAAAATTAAGCAAAATGAAGAATTAAAAATTTAATCCGTAATAGCACTCAATGATTTGCACATTTATTCTATTAAGTCACTTTCATATACGAAACAAACATTTATTGCAGTTTTTTCTTTTTTTTTATCATCGAATATTTCTAATGAAAGTTTTTTTGCAAAAAAAAAAAGAGTGATTGCAATGATGAAATTTTGAAAAGAAGCAGGGCGAGACATTTATTTTCAAGTGCAAAGGTATTTTGACAAAGAAAATTCTCAACTACTGGAAAATATATGATGACATCATTTTTTTTTTCAAACTATTTTTTGTTGATATTTTTATTAAGTTGAAAACATTTGAAGATATTATATTTTGCACTTTATTCAATAATATCCAACTAAATATGATGTTTGCTTTTTTTTTTCTTTTTGCTTCAAAAAATTTCACAGTTTTAACTACGGCGATTGATTGATATTAGCATGCTTTACGTAATTAACCCTTAATGAAATAATGAAAACAAAAGATTATACGTTGTTTTTATTTCAGAAACAGAATGTTAGTATTAAAACTTACTATTGCCATTAGTTTTAAATAATGATTCTAACCAGAAAAAAAAAATCATGAACAGTATTATGGATGGTAAAAAAATGGCAATGGATCTGTCTACAGCGACCATTGATGTTGCACAACATTCTGACCGATCTACTTTGCAATCATTCATTAAAAAAATTAAAAATCATAATTTGTTTGAAGTGAAATTAAAAATTGATACATCACCAACTGATGAAACAGACAAAATAATTTGGACACTTGATGTTAGTTTTATCACACTTCCTATTAATAATTTCCAAGTTAAATTTCATCATGATCTTTCCCTTCTTTTTTTTTTTCTTGATTAAAATTAAAAATTCAATTCAGGTTTTGAGTTTATTAAAAAGTTATATTTTTGCAGATACCTGATGAATCACCGCCTCCTTCATCGACCAACCTATTCAAATGTTTACGCAATAGTGATACTGATTTTTTACCTGATGATAATGCGCAATTTACTATCGTAAAAAGCAACAGCTTGTAACGTGTTAATCCTAATCTAATATTAATTTTTTATCTTTTAAAATATAAGGTTTTGTATTTCAATTAATAATTCTATTACTATCAACTGATAACTTTTTCATAAATTATTGATAAGATTTTAAGAATTGCTAATGTGATATTTGTTAAGAAGCCGTTCAAAATCACTTCGACCAGCGCTACGAACACCTTCCACTCATACATTAAGAATGCGTAAAACGGTGCATTTCGCAGATTCATTTGGTTTGGATCTTGTACATCAGAATTATTATGAAGCAGATGATTTATCTATTGAGTATGTGCTAAAAATATTGGAAATCTTTTTTTTTTTTTTTTATACTAATGCATAATGTTTGATTCGCTTAATAAATCGTTTTAGTTATAAAATTTTACAATTTTCAGGTTACAAAAATTTGGTGCAACATATCCTTCATTATTTACCAAAATTATCAAATCTTCACGAAATGTTATGCTAAGTTTTGTAAAATTTCAACAACGCACTGATATGGAAATTAATTATTTGACACGCATTCAATCAGTATGCTTACAGCATGTTAAATTCGTCGATATGAATATCATTGGCACTATAAATGTTCTCAATATATCATATGAAAAGCAGGTTAATTAATATATGAGAAATTTTCAATTTTAAAATTTCATTATCAATTAGCTAACTAAATTATTTATTTTAAACTGATTAAAATAATTAGTTAAATCTCAACAACTAAAAGACAAATAATGAATTATGAAGATTTGAGTTGATAAATGTTGCAACTGTCATTTGTAATATTTTAGTAAATGTTTTATTTAAGAAACAAACCTTTCCCGTACCTTAGAACTGTATACCTTTAGCATAATTTATACCATCTATCATTGATCGATAGTAAATGGCATTATGTTAATGAAAGAGTAATTTGATATCATTCGATGAGAAACTTTATAATATTAATTTTTCTTGAAAATCATTTTAATATTTTAACATTCTTGAGGGGTTTTATTTTTCGGATAGCAGAAAATAGATTATTTGACCTATCGATAATTTAATAATGAATGCATGGTTTTTAAAAGATTATAAAGTTCTTGTTTTTATTATTTTCCAAGTAACCACCAAATGAAATAATTGTTTTTAAAGCAATCTTCAGAAAGATTATTTACTCAGTCACGCAATATTTTCAATATTTTCACTTCATATTTATTACACGTTGCTATCTTGATTGATTGAATTAGAATGAGTGCAGGAAATATAACGAATATTGATTTGAAATTAAAATTTTCCAGTTTTGAATTTACACTGAAGCAAACTTTCTAAACTTTATAAGCAACAAAAAAATGTTTATTTTAATTCCTCTCATGTTACATTTATATTGAACAGTTTGTTTACATATTTGAATTTCATTTTTCAGGTATACGTCAGATATACTACAGATAATTGGAGAACAAATACCGAAACAGCAGGAAGATACGAAAATTCAAGCTCAGAAGATGGTTGTATGGATAAATTCACATTTATCATTTCACTTCCTACCGATTTTCCAGTATTAAAATTTTTAATTATTCTTATTAAAATATTTGACTATCTGTACCATTTGCATCATAATTCCAATTAAACTTTAACAATACCTAGCATCAGTATTAACCTAACTGTTAAAATCAATTTACTTCTCAAAATAAGAGATAAATTTTTGCCTCTAGCTTGTGTTGTGTTGTGAAATTATTGGCTTGATATAATTATTTGAAGAGTGCTTTGATTTGATATAGTCGAATTATTTGATTATCAGTGAAGAGATTTTCTCCTCAGATGTTAGAAGATTATTCTCGGTAATTTGTCAATAATAGAGTTGACCGCTTAATTGACATTCGTCGTTGCAAAGAGTTTAGTTTGGACCTTTTATTGAAGTAGTAATGGAAAAGATTCATTTGAATGTAGGTGGTAGCAGTATGATATAATACCGAAAAGTTGGAGATATTTTTTATTGATGAATATGATTGAAATCAGATTCCGGTAGGAATGAAAGAATTAATTGTTTAATGAGATTTTAATTGCCTTATATGGCCAATTAGACATCAAAAAGCAAGATGAATAATAGTTTCAAAATCGATCATAAACAAATAACCACAAAATGTAAAAGGCTAGTTATTTCAAAATGTTCAGTAAAAATTGAATAGCAAAAAACAGCAATATTAATTATATAAATTTTAATCATAAGTAAATAATTTGAATTCTCCATACACACATCCTATAAATCTTTTAACTGACAATTTTTAATGATAATTAGTGGCAATTTAAATTTTTTACGAATTATTTACATGATTTTAATCATTTTTGCATTATCAAATAAATTCGGATTTCTGACAGCTTGAACACTAAATTCTATTACTTTCAATTATAATTTCAGATTGGTGCAACATGTGAATTTTGCATACGTTATATGGTCAATGGTATTATGTACTGGGACAACAGCCAGGGAAACAATTATATTGTCCAGGCGGTAGAAAAAATTGCTACAAAGATGAAACCGATAGCAAACTTATTTAAATCAACGGATAATGCTCATAGTTAAAAAATTATGGAAGATAAATCATACGACAACTTTCATTACACTAATCGTTCCAATTTTTCACCCTACTCATTGCAATCAACAGGTCAAAATAAAAATGAGAAACGAAAATAATGCAAATTAATGAAGCATATTTGTTGAATTTTCGTTATTTGCAAATTTCAATTTCAGTTTTAGAAAAAAGTAAATAGCATGTGTTGTAAACAAACTGAGGTATGATGTTTATTGCTGTTCATTGTTATAATAAACCTGCAATTATTTATTGATGATATTTTTTTTTAAAAAAAAAGGCAATTTTTTATTTTTTTTTCCCGAAATCAGCTGAATTTATGAGGAATATAAGAATTATGAAAATTATATGTTACAATACATATCTGCATTATTTGGGTTATAATACATACCTGTTTTACTTGTATATCTTTCAATGAATGCAAAATAAATTAATAGGATTTCATTTTTATTTGTTAAGTGAATCAGATGTAATTATTAATCTCTGTAATAAATGGCTTGAAAATTCCATATCTTAATTAAATATATAAATTAATGAATTGAACAAAATTAAGCTCAATTCTTTCATATGAATATCTTAGATACGATAATATTTTATTTACTTTCAGCTTTATGTAAACAGTCAGTACGAATGAAAGAAATTGTATTTTGTATATACAAAGTTGTCATGCTTTTTATCGATTAATAATTTATTTTAAAATACGTCTTGTAATTGTTTAATTAGCTACAATAAACTGATTGCATACTTCCAACAAAAAAAAAGGGGAAAAAAGTTTTTCTTTTTAAAATTACTTAAATAAAAGAAAACAAGTAAAATTATGAAAAAAATTTTTTTGCAAAATAATTCAGAATCAATAACATATTCTTTTTGTACGATACAGCAGTCTAGAAATACTATGTATGTATAACATTAAAATTTCGAAAATTATTAAAAAGTCAAACCGAATGTAAATTAAGATGAAAATGTATCAATATGAGGTAAGTGATCAAGAATGGAAATCGAATTTAAATGATGTTGTGGATAAAAGGAATTGTGGTTTCCAAAGTGACGATAATTTTTCAATTTCCTTTTGCTGCAAAATGTTTTTCACTGAATGAAAGAAAAACTACCAATAAATAAATATAATGATAAGTATTGCTTCATTCTATTATTATTTTCACACTATTCTATTGTATTTTAATCAGTAAATTGTTTATTTGAACAGTACTCAAAGCACACATTTGATTGCATTTGCTACTTTTTTTACAATTTCCATAATATTACCTTAAAACGATTTCATTTATTAATATCAACTCATCCATTTTAAGTTTTCAATTTTCATCTTATAGCATCAAAATTTGTCTAATAATATGTTAGCAATGACAATAGCGCTTAGGCGCAATATTCGCCCTAAGTGTCCTAGCTCGAATAATATATTGATCTTCCGGTATTGAATGAATTGCAAAAATTCTAGCGTTTTTCGATACATAATATCATTAATCATAAGTTAACTTCATTTCTGTCATTTTTTTAATTTTTAATTCGAAAAAAATGATGCAAGTAATCAATTACATACATTAAAGTTAATGATAATCAATGAAATAGCATTTCAATCGTATTTGTTATTAATTCGATTTCAGTTATTTACTGCATTCCCAATATTTAGTTCATTTCTAAATTTGATTAAAAAGAAAAAAGTTTGAGGCGGTCATTGACACGGTCATTGTCATTGCACCGCACTGATCCTTTTTTTTTAAGCTCATCAACTTGATGAGGTTTTTGTTCCTTTTTTATTTTTTTTTTGTCCGATTTTCAATTTTTTATTCTATTTTTTTGATTTTTTTTTCAATTCAACTTTTTTGATTTTTTTTAATTTTTTTGCGTTAGTAGGTGCCACTCCATCCTCTTAGTATTAAGTCTATCCACCCTCACTTTTCTTTTTTATTTTATTTTTTGTTTGAACCAATGTAGTACAACGTATCATCGGACCAACCTCTTCAATGTACAGCTGCTTTCACAGCTTATTGAAACTTTCTTATCTATTATCTGATGATTGTGATTGGATTATTGAAATATTCAGATGAGAAGAAAGCAATTCCCTAATACTATGTCTTATTACACGAACATTTTTATTGGTAAATAAAAAAATAAACATTTTAAATAAAAAAAAAATGTGAAATAGCATGGAAATTTTAAAGAAAAAAAAAACTGAGAACTCCTGATATAAACAGAATTTATTAAAATGGTTTAAAATTAAATTTAGGATATAAATGTTTTGTTTCAAGTCATGTGTCTGCAAACTGCAACTGAATTACTTTAAATACAACATTTAATTACTGTAAAAAGACAAAGTATTATTCGAAAGTTTTGCTAGATGTGTAATTTTTAAATTTTTATAAAATGATTACTATGCGTTCAATTTATTTTATCAAGATAGCTGATCCTTTTCGATTGTTTTAAATATTCATTACTCATTTGAATACCATTTGAATTGCCATACTGAAAATGAAATCCTATATCATGCAATAACCATTTGAAATCCCTGATCTCTACATATTCTGTTTTCGATTATTTATTTAAAAGATTGAATCTAGAAAGTAAATATTACTTTTGCATCCAAAAATCTTTGATTACTGAATCACACCAATATTTTGTTTATCAATTCAGGATCACTATGACAAGTTCCCAAAAATGAATCTTTTTCAACAATTCATATCAGCAAATTGTAATTTTCACATACTACCAATTCAGTCACATTGCTGATTCGACGAAGGTGTTCGCAAAACTTTGCAATTTAAATGGTGATTGCAAAAACCAAAGGATACTTATTTTGTAATTAATTTAAAAAGAAAAAATAATGCTTCATTTTGCTAACTGGAATTAATTGTTAACTGACAGTAATCAGTTCATAAAGTGCTTAATGATTTTTGAAACTAACAAATTTCATTTTTTTCTGAATTTAATTCGATTGTAATTGTGAATTCATTTGGAAAAGTGAATTCACAATTATAATTGAATTAAACTCAGAAAAAAAAAATGAGATTTGTTAGTTGCAAAAACCATTAAGCATGCTTAAACTCATCCTACACTCAGCTGATTAACATATTTTCCCGAAATTAAACCAGCAAATTTTTTAGAAAATTAACAAGTTGAGGAAAAAACAATCTTGTCTTAACTATTTTAACATTTCCAATATATGACCACGTACGACTATTCCTCACCAATAAGAAAAAAAAGGCAAATTTAGAAAAAATTTTTTTAAATACCAAAAAGTCGGCGGTCCATGTCCCAAGTGCCACACCAGTTCTATCCTTCCCGGACCTCCATTGTTTTCCTCTTTTTTTTTTGTCATTTTACAGTTTTTCACTTTTTTTGGCATTTTTTTTCGGTCCGGAAGAATGGGTTCTGTGATTTTTCTCTCAAGTCAGCACTCTACCACACTCTATCTGCTGATTAACTGGGTGCATCTGTGACGACCAGCCGGTCAGTGCGACTTATCGTCTAATCATAAATATAACTAGGACATTTCCAAGATGATGATCTCAAGTGGAGTAGTCAGTCAACAGAGAAAGAAATGGATGACATATCTATTGGCAAGCCGATCCAATTCTTTACTGAATATTTTACCAAATTATTGCAAAAATTTGTAATGACAGACAGGATGAAATCGTCTAGGACACGTATCACAAAATATAGAATAGCTTAGAAAATTAATATTTAACTTCAAGATTGGATCGGTAAAAACAAAATCCGCTTTGAGTACTGCTGAAAAGTAACAAACAATTCCAAGCGGATTTTTACTTCTCGTCACTTCGATGAACCCAATTTTACTTGTATTTTCAATATAGCTTCCATCTTTTTACCAGATATAAGTTTAATTTTTGAGAAATTGTAAAAAAAGAATTTGCGTAGGCAGAATTAGACTGGATGATTCTCGCATCGCCCACAGAAACGTTCTTTAAAAATCTTCAAAAAAAATTTAGAACAGTGTCATACAAAAAATCAATTCTATCCCAATGTCTCATTTTAATTCATGCAAATAGTACTTATTACATCTAAACTTCTCTCAATTACCAATGCTCTCCCAAACTTGAAAACTTAAAACGATCTGTATTATAGCTTTTATCGAATTGAAAGTCCAAATGAGTATGGGAAAATTTGAACAATACCAAAATGAATGAATTCTACTGCCTTATCAATTCAAAATAGAAGCTGAAAAATATCTATTAACATGGAAAATGATATTGAAATCATTCCTTAACAACGACATGAAACTAATAAAAAAAGTACATTTCGTTCTGTAACGCGATATCAAATATCTATTAACATGAAAAATTAGAAAAAACCAACAATGAATTTCCAAAAAATTGGTAATCGTTAAATAGAATTACAGAAAAATATTTTTACTTTGAAATTCTTAATTCTAGATTTGACAGGTTTTTTGTCTTTCCTTAGTAAGATCACAGAAGCAAATGATATCGAAGATGAAAGTGAAGACTAAGCTAGATGAAGGCTTTTTTGAAAGTTGTAAATAATTTTTTTTTTCTTCTGTACAAGTGAAGTTTCAGAACAATCCAAGAACGACTGGAATGACCACTACATAAGTCACTAAAGGAGATCAACAAAACATGTCATTTTGAATGAGATTTAAGATTTTAAAATCCAGCTGATGTATATATGCTGGTTTTTTTATAGGATGAACAATATTACTGTATTATTTTGCAGAAGAATTATGAATATAGTGTATATGAACGAACATAATTAAATCCTATACTCTATGTTAGAAGTAACGGCTAACGTGAGATATTGAAGGAGAACTTCGTCCTACATTCTGAAGGTTCCTACTTTTCAAGATGAACTACCTTAACCAAAAATAATTGTAATCATCAAACTATTTAAAATTCCGGATAAAAGATGAATGCAATTGCTGCTCGCGTATACGCAGTATCCAGTATCATTATAACGACTTATAAATGATGAATAACAGTGAAAACAGAAGGACCACAGCCACAATAAGCAGCAATAAACGATTCTGGACTATTCTGAAAAATTAACGAAATTTTAAAACCAGTCCTAGATAACTAATAAAGGAGAAATAGAATTCTAACAATGAATACCTGCGTATCATCAGTGACAACATTTTATGACTTCTATTTAAATCTCTATCTGCTTGTCGCATACGCTCACGCGCCCGCATTATTGTTTCACGTTGGGAATTCAGATCGTTTAACACTTCTGTTCCAATCTAAAAAAATTTCACTGCATTTACCAGTACCACAGGAACCACGAAAACAGATAGTAGCGTGTAAAAATTTGCCGAACTAAAAGATATTACTGCTTATCCACATATCATAGTTTCGGTACTTTTATTTTTATTAAACCTACCATGTTTAGTTTCAAGTACAGAATTGCTACATTATATCTTACATGAAATGAAAAATAATAAATATCCAAAATAACATTCCTTACCTTCTCTTATCTGCCTTTCTCCTTTCACTTTTTTGAAAAATAAAATGAATTTTCCAATCTCAAACAAAAACTAAAGTCACAATGGTAGTATCTGTTTATTATTAGCTATAAATTTTGGAAAAGAAAAAAATCTCCAATAATTCCTAGCAAATCAAGACGTAAAAGAACCTGGTCCGTTTCAATCACCATTCTATAAGTGTCTTGAAGTCTTCTGGATGTTCTCTCCAACCTTTCAGTATTTTCAATTAGTTGGTCTTGCTACAAAAAGAAGACAGAATATTACAGATTAACATAAACCAGAATTCGTTAGTCAAAAGTGAAGTTATTTATGCGTTTCATTAGAAAATCACAGAATGACACAGAACAAAATCTTCCTACTGATATGCTGCTTGTTAAATTATGATCCATTTATAATTTGAAAAATCTATTACTTCTCGCTAGCAAATACCACATTTTCATGACTATAACATCCTGCTGACAAAATGATAATCTCAAAATTTTCATTATTCACGAACTCGGAAGAAACAGTATATGTAACTATTTAGATCTTATAAATCGACGAATCTATGAAATTAAAGTATCATTCAGCTTGTAAAGTGTTTTTAACTATTACTACTAAAGAAAGAATGAGGATGAGAATAGAACATTGAAGAAAACTGAGAATTCTATTAATTGAACACAGGAGTGGGAAGAAAACTGATAATTCTGTCAATTGAACACAGGAGTGAGTGATAAAAATGAGGGAGGGAAAAACGCAGAAGTAAATAAAAAATACAAGACCGACCTGATTCACAGAAATCTGATTATCGTATGTCATCAGTTCATCTCGATCAGCGTTATCTTTCAAGCGCTGAACTGCTTTGTCCAGCTCAGCATCTAACTGTTTTTTGTCATTTCGATAGCTGCGAACTCGTAACTCATATTTCGACCGTTCCGCACTGGAAATAGAAAGCACTTTAGTGAATTTCAAGAAACAGCATGTTGCAACAATCGTGAGCTTTTTAATTTGTGATTTATAAGAATATTATAGAATTGAAGAATTTTATCCCACTCATCCACTTTCTTGCTAAAGTACTTTGACTATATATAAACCTATGGTCCACAACGAGAACAAAATCACAGCTATTTTCAGAAAATAGTAAATCGTACCTCGATGGCTTTAATTCCCTAACAGTTAATTCCATTTGCTCCAGAAGATTTTCAACATCAACCAGTAAACGTTGAATCTGATGAATCCCTTCAACGCGCCCATTTTTATCTAAATCTTTCAAACGTCCAATACGTGCTGTAATTTCTGCAGTTTGCACTGAATACTGATGCTCGAAATCACTTAACAATGTATTTGCCGCCATTACTTAGCAAATTAGTTTCTGGATGATACCATATCCTGAAAGATGGGAAGATTTCATAATGAATGGAACAGCAGCAATACAATATTAAAATTTCTTCATATATAATCACAGTACATTTTTCTCTTGTCTTTTTGTTACATTTGAACCATCACTTATTCAGATTTAAAAACAAATATTTGGTAAGCCTTCCAGTAACCTTATAAAACGCACGCATTAATCAAATGAACAGGAAGATCAAGTCTACGAACGACTAACTCAAGTCGAAAAGATTTCGGTAGACTGCAATAAGATTTTATCTTAAAGAACAAATTAAGTACTGCTTTAGCTCGTAGAAACATTATCCACTATTATACCATACTACAAAACAACGCTGTATTGATGACAATTTTAAATTCATGGAAAAAATTCGATAAACAGGTTCGGCAAACCAAACAATTCGTCCTAAGAACAATGTGCAATGATTTATTCAATTTAACTGTATGAAAAAATTCATTGCATGAACACGTAAAATTCGAGCATGAAAACGTGTGCTTATATAACAGTATGACATCATATCAGAAGTATTTTATGAAATATCTCCAAAAGACCTGAAATTCACTATCTAATAATAGAAAAACAAAAATCCACAAAAAAAGAGGTTTCAGAACTTCGTGACTGCAATAACACTGGTTATGTAAGTACAGTGGAAAATTTATAGATGATAAAAAACTGAAAACTGCGATACTGATACAGTATCGCACGAAATTATCCGCTTAAACCAATATCATGTTTCCTATTGTCATATTTTCATCTTTCAACAGAAACATTAGATAATATTCACATGCATTTTACTGTCTCCTGTAATGAACATAAGCTCGGTTTGCTTCACACTGTTTGTGCAATTCCTGCTTTGCTTGCACTGTTAAGCCCTCGTTTTTGTAGGCAGCAAGCAATTCATCAGCTAGTATGTGCTGAAAATGAGTAGCACCGTGAAAAGTCTTTTTTCGGCAGATATCGCGCATCGTTTTCATTGCTCGGAATTCAGCGTGGTGATCTGATATCGGACATGGTACCATATAAGTTTGCCCACCTGAAAAAAAATCCTCACAGGCAGAACTTGTTTTTAGGGAAATAAATTCTTGAGAACAGAAAAACCGTATAAGTACCATCTGACACTAAGCTTCAAGAACAAAGTTAATACAACACAACTTTATGCACTTAAGTTGAAATAAAATAAATAAGGAGTTCGTAAGTGCATAAATCATTTTAACACAATGCAGGCTAATTAAAAAGTAATCCCGTAAAAGGTAATGAAGTCTTGATGATCATTTAAAGTAAACGTTTTCTAGCAAAGAAGTTTAGATGTATTGCTGATGCTTACTTTCATGCATTTGATATAACATTTGTAATGATTTTCATCAAAAAATTTAAGTAAAAATATAAAAAAAAGAACTAACCGCGAATAAATGGACGTAGAATCATTATAGGACAGCAATTCTTGATAGCTTTTTCTGCAATTACTACAGGATCAAGCTCTATTTTCTCTTTCTGTTCATCGCTAGCATTCCTCCACAAGTTATACTGACGTCTTTTTATTATTTCCAGCGCTTCGAAAACAATCAACCGCATTTTTTCTGCAATATAATCAGAAGCATGGAATGCATTCATTTTAATTCTATTTAAAAACCTTTCAATTTAAATAAACATCTAATAACTCCCATGAGGCAACATGAAATTTCGAGGATAGAGACGAAAAGTGTGAATGATTTAAGCATGCCGTCAAAGTTATTTTAACTATTCTTAAAATAAAGCCATATATTAAAAATTTGGTACATCAAGATTCAACAATATAAATCACGAGCTGCTTAACGAACCAATGAATAAAATAAATAAAAACAATTTCTTTCGCCAAGAATTTTTACAGGTAATTACCATAATTTCAAAAAAAATTAATGAACATCGCAGGGTGTACTCTGCCAATTAGCCAAACAACAACGACTCAAACAGAATTAACCAACCCATAGGTTTTAAAAGCATTCTAATTTTGATGTAAAAATAAGAATATGATGGGAAATTCCGGACTGAGAGAAGATATTTTCATCCTATTAATGAAATATTTCGACCAACCTTTCATTCCACATAGCATACACACATTAATTAATCTATCTATGACGGCATTTCGATAAAATACTGGCGTCTGAGAACTGGTCATTGCCTTTATGTAGCAGTACCGGCGATCATCTTCTGGATCCAGCGGTTGATTAAGCTGAAAATAACCAAAAAAGTTTCAAACCTTCCAGTTCGCTATATCACATAGTTTGATGGTATAAGTTTAGACTTCAACTTATTAAAAGTTGTAATAAATTGGATCATTTTTTCGTACTCAAAATGACAGGCATATTGCCCACTAAAGAGACTGCTGCAAAAAATAACGAAAAGCAAAATGTAGGAAATAATAAAAGTCAAGAAACTTGATCTCATAAATTTGAAATGAATAAACAAATTCAGTTATATCTCCTCTTCTTTCTTCAAATATCTTTCCTCTGGAGTTGCGTAATAATAGATCGCTTTTAAAGAAAGTGTTATATCACGAGAGCTTTATTCTGTTTGATGAGAAAGCTTCTATTTCATTACCTAATACATAGTTTAATGTATTTGACCTTCCTATGATAGATATGGTATTCAAAGCAAATTGATTACCAACATTAACCACCATAAACGAAACTCAATAATTACCTACAGATAATGAAAACAACCTGTTCCAGATCTACAATTGGTTCACGAAATACTTTAGGATCGTATTTGGAGCATACTGAGGCAGATTCAGAAATCATCCGTCTAGATGTGATCCTACGTAGATAAGACCCGTTTTCTAATAATTTAACCAACAGTTTCATGCTGCAATATGTATTAAACTATAGTTTTACAGAAAGTTACTAACATGAACTTGAAAAGACGTAAAACATGTTTCTCATCATTTTTTTCCCCTACTCTATATTTTACGAATTTCATACAATCTTAACTTCGATCACTCATCAACTATCATTTTTTAGTTTAATTCATAAAAGTGCTGAATGTCCGGTAATTCCCTACGTTCCTATATGATATACGCATGCAATATCCTAACAACGTGAAACGGATCAATCGTACCATCTCCCGCCCCATAGAAATAATTAGCAATTCTGAAACAGACCAGTCACATTGTGAAATTCGGGTTCTCTTTGTTGCATCACATATTCTTCGTTGTTTGTCTTAATCTCTGCAATGTTCTATTTCGTTGCATTATTCTCTGCGCTCCTTTCAATATCTTACAAAGTTCATGGCGCTCTTTTTCATTATTCAAGCTGTTTAAATGACTATTAACAAATGTTCCTAATCCTCTTATCACATTATTTTGTGGGAATCTTATCTTTTCCTATACTGTTCTCCACTCTCACATAATATCTCGCTCGTCTCCTCATATCTTCCTGTTTCACCTATTTTGCTGTAATCTTTGATATGATGAAAGATATTGAAGTTCGCTATTGTTACAAAATTGTCATCGAAATTTTGAAAAGAAAAATGTCAGTGCATATATTTCGCTTACTTTGTACATTCAAATCTAATTTATTTTTTGTCTTATTAAATTTCAAAGTGACCGAAAATAGCCGTTACAAGAAAGTACGAAAAATGATGGGATAACCATGAATGGCCACTCATTCGTTTCTGTATGTTTCTGATCGCTTTAACTGAGCTTTCCAAAATATGCTTATGATGTTAGCCATTGAAAAATCACCGTTAATTGACTGCTGAAAAATGGGGCTATTGTTTATTCCTTTATTAGGACCAACCATACGAATGATTTTTTCGTCATTTAACTTGTGATTTTTCATAGCCTTCATTTGATCAATCTTCGTTATTGTTGAAACAAATTATGCTTTTTAAAATTTTTAAATTCTTAATGATTTTTTAAAATCATCAAAGCGGATATTTTGGTTACTCTTTATTAGTCAAACTTTTCTATTATTCCTGTATATCCAATAAGAATGAAATGGATAGGGTTTTGTTTAGAAATATGCGTTTGAATGCATAACGTTTTTTTTTTTAATTGGAATTGTTTTGGTGGAATTTTAAATTTTCAAGTTTTGCTAATTTTTACACTTATTTTGAAATCTTAAATAATTTAAGCAAATAAAACAATGACACATTTTTAACACATGAATTAAATCTTTATCAATTTCTTGAGGATGTGCATTGTTCAGAAATTAAAAAACGATCAAATTTGTTTGTTTGTTTGTTTGTCTGTTATTCCTCTCTTTTCTCGTTTGAAATGCGAAAAGCGAAAAAAGAGAAGTTTAGCGAAAAAGGAAAAAAAAAATGATTAATGTGATATTTTATTTTGTCAAGCATAAATTATTTGCAAGTCAAAAAATTTTGTTCCAGCAGATCAATGGTCACTTAGCAATTATCCATATTGGAAGTTTTTTTTTTTCCCCCTGTTTTCTCCTCCTCTCTATTGGAAAATGAAAGTAGTTAACCTTTTTTTAGGAAGAAGAAAACATGAAAAAAAAAAGAAAGGAAAAAAGATTAAACTGTATTTAAAGTAACAAACGATACACGACTGAACAGATAGAACTGATGTTGAATTGCTATAAAAGCCACTCTTTGCTAGTTTTTTTCTCTCCACGAATTCATTTTTCTTTTTTTCTTGTTTTCTTGGAATATTATTTGTGTTGTTATTGGTACCAAAATAATCTACTCATAATATAAGTATTATATAATTTTTTTATTTTAATTTGATCTCAATTTTTTTACAGTTTCTACTCTCTTCAAAGTATATTTATTCTCAACTTCCATTCATCTACAATGAATCAGTCTGTTTGTAATGCTTTATGGCTTTATTTTTGTTTAGTATCACATAATATCATGTGATAGGTTTCAATGATAGTCGTATTATATTGCTTGAAAAGTATTGTAGATTTTTCAAATAAAATTCTAAAACTAAAAGAAAAGCAGAAATCATTTTGCAGAAAATTTCGAAATGATATCGTTTCCGATTGTATCCATGCGCAAAGATTAATCCGATAAGTTCCCTTTAGATATGTTCGCTGATCCGATAACCTTTCTTGTGATCCGATAACATTATGAAACAATATCAATGTTATAGTTGATATTTATCCGATCTCGAACATACGAACATACGCATTAACAATAATTTTGGAATTTCCGGTAAATGCTAAAACTAAGTAAAAAACGAAAAAAAAAAACAAAACAAAATCATGTGATGAAAAGTTTCTTCCTATTCAAAGCAATTGTAGGAATTTTGGTGTTTATAACAAATAGAAAATTTGAGGGATATGATGCAATCTTAAATATTTCCAAATTTTTAACTTAATCGATGAATTTTATAATCGACTTAGAAGAAGTGTGGAAGTGAATGAATGCAATTAAGAGATTTGCAATAAATAAAAAAAAATATTGTTGGTACAAAAAATTTGGGATAAATATCATTAGTGATTACAATACGAATCAATTATTTCATGCATCAATCATATCAAACTATTTTCTCCCTTTTTACTGTGCTGCTACAGATGAAATTTCATTTAATTATTATAACAACCAGTTTGTTTACATATTTAAAAATTTAATGATCAGTTTAATAATTACAATTTGTTTGTCTTTTTTGTAAGTCTAATAATTAGTTTAATAATTACAACTTGCTTATAGATTTTTTATTAGTTCAATAATTATATAATTTTCAGTTGTTAAAAATAGCGACAAGAAAACAACTTGACAATTACTGGTAGAAAAATTACGATGAGCAAAATTTATTAAATCATATAAGCCTAAAATTCGATCTAATTACTCTTGCTAATAAAATTGGTCCGATTAATAAACGAAGCTTATTTATTTATGTCTTAATTTCAATCATTTGTATGATTATTTTAGTGTTATCAGTGTTATCAAAATCAAGAAATCAATAATCCGTTCCAACTAAAAATAACCTTTATGGTTACCAAATTTCCGGTTTAACTCTATAGGATAGCTCTGAAATAAATATGAGACACATATGCTCTAAATAGTCTAAACTATTTGATAAAGTAATTAGCTTAAAAATATCTTAGTAGACTGTTTACTACCATCAAATTGAGCGTAACGTGAAGAAGGAATTTTCATAAATTTTGCTGTTATACTTACCTTCCTAAAATATCAGATTTATATTATGTAGCCGAGTGATATATAATCAATCATCTGTGAAATTTAGTTGGATTGCTTCCTTCTTGAACAAAGCCAAATATTTGCGTTTGAAATACTGATGTCAGACCGCGCCCATTAAACTCGTTTGTTCGATAAGCAACATCTCCTGTGCAATTAATTTTCTTCAGCATTTTTCCGAATGATGTAATTAAGCTTTTGCTTTTTCTTTTTTTCGCATCAAATATTAAAAACAATGCGCGCATTATTTTGTAAACATATATGCAGTTAGTTTTCTATTCATATGTTTTCAATTTCAGTTTTCACATTCAAATTGATTGTCATTTATTATCTCCTGCACGGTGCGCAAAAATAAAAAAAAAAAAATCTATAATGCTATCTTTCAGCGTTGTACTGTTTTGTAGATCAGTGAAGACGAGTGATGTTTCTGTCACATACATCTGAAATACTTTTTGTTGGGATTGTTTTTTCCAACGCTGTTTCATTTTTAATTTTACATTTTTTTACTGGTTGAAAATATTTCTCTTCTAAATGTGCAGTCCTGATTCATAAATGGCGTTCATGATTTGTTGTTGTTTGTTTGTTTTCTTTTTTTTTTTTTTAAAATAAAAACGTCCTTCTATATGTTGCTTTTTATAAATTTACTCTTTTAATTTTAACAAATTAATAAATCATGAATTATTCTTAAAATTAAAGTTATAACTCGAAATTTTTTAAAGAAAAAGTATGATTGAAATTGGACTGTTAAGATTAATAATGCTAAATCGTTATATCAATTAATTTTCGATGCATTAGTGATCGGTTAAATGTTTTATCGTTTAACAGTATGAAATCCGATATTTGACATTGTTTTATACGAAGTTTCAATAGATGTTCGGTGATTAAATTTCACTATCATTTAGAAAGTATACAAATGGATACGTCAATAAATTTTGAAAAAATTGTGAATGAATTCCTTCTGTTGGTTAGAAAATGCATTCGACACTATTACAAGCCGCATATCAATGAGGTCTTTCTTTTTAATTTCATCCAATACTTTTAAATTACTTCCCTTGGATTTACATGTTGTATACTTCTCTAATGATGCAAAAATAGGACATTGATACTAATAATACTTGCAATTATCAGGAACGGTAACTTTTCATCTTGATATTGATTAGTTACTGCTCAGTTACGACTGATTGCAAAATTAGTCTTTCTTCAGGATAAATAGTTCAATTACATGCATGCATGAAAAAATGAAGTTCAGTAATCGACAGTAATCATTTCTTTTTTAAAGGTGTCAATTTAATTATTATGAAATTTTATTTTATAATTTGCATTTTACAGGGCTACCAAAAATATGACAAAAGAGAATTGCAATTAATGGATGAATTTTTCAAGATAAAATCTGAAGTAAATGCTTCATTGTGTAATACTATTGATATGAAAATTGCTGCTGAAAAATTGTGTCAAATAATTGACCTCGGAGAGGAGTATATTAATGAAATGGTAAGCAGTAATTTGTTTCATAAAATTTGTTAAAGATCTCTGAAAATTATGATAATGCGAATTAATTGCTCAAGTTTAATTACATTTCAATATAAAATTTAAAAAATTTTCAGTAAAGAAAATTTAAATCTGCTTTACTCAGCTGTGA